TCCCCATAATACCATAAAAATAATATTCCCACGATAGTTTTATCCTTGCATATGATTGCTTGACCATGAAAACGTAATGCTGACATATATATATATATTCATATTTATATTTATATTTATAGTGCTATTGTGTGTAAGGTCATCTTTTTGTAAATATCTGTGTGTATATGAAGTCACATCAGGCATCTAATTTGAAGCTGTGGCACTACTTTCCAAGTCAACATCAACTTTGCTGCATTAGTTAGCAAGTTCCCCCATTATCTGCTTCTGGAGAATAATATAATCTGTTGGGGGGGCGTGGGCGGTGGGTGGGGTGGGGGATGGGGGATGCATTCAAGCAGCAGAATCAGAGAACCTGCAATGAGTGTGAAATAAAGAGTGAGTATTATAAAGCTGGTAAAAGGCTGTGAAAGTGGGCTCCCTGCTGATTTTGTAGAGCGATGAGATGAGGCCAAGCCCGGTTCTGGCTAATAAGTGTGAATGAGTGCAGCCACGAGGCCTCAGCCAGTAGCCACACAACACCTATTATCAGCCTTTCTAGCAGACATCCATGTGTTTCCATTTACAGGGTATTGTTTAAGTGGTAAGATTCTTCAGTACGAGCATGTTGACACCTCTCTCCTTGTGTCTGTCAGTGCTGACAGTCTTTAATAGCCTGTGGAGGTCAGCCTCTTGCCACATGTGGATAGTTGGAAGAGAGGGGCCAGGATACAAGAGGACAATCTTGTTCTGCTGACACCCTGCAGAAAAAGGATGGGAGACAGGGGTCCTTATGCTGGTGCTATTTTGTGGCCTGTAATTGTCTGTAAGGTCTGTAATACAGCACAGTAGAGCAAAGGACTGCAGTGGCAGGGCCGGAGGTTCAGAAAGTCCACGGGGGACTGACCAAGAAGGCGTGTACTGAGCCAAGGGGAGGGAAAAAGAGCTATGGTTGTTTTTGTGGTTTTTGTGTATGTGTACCAGAAACATTCCAACAGTAGTTTACACTAAAGCAGAATGTCTTTTTGTTCATTTAAACAAGTCCAGTCATGGGTGGAAAAGCCCTGCTGGTGGTATCTGTGGTGGTGTGGCTTGGCCCTGACCCCAGTGGATATAATGGTGCACTGTAAAATGTCCTGTCAGTTGATGGAGGAGCTGCCTGTAGCAGCAGGAAGGAGTGTGGCGACAGGGGCCATGTGTGTTAACCTCTTTCCTTGTCACCTTTTCTGTCTTTCTCTCCACCCCCTCTCCTTTCATCTCCACCTTTTTCTCCTTCCCTTTCCGCCCTCGTTCCCTGCAGACTTCACTCTCTCTACCTACACACTCCTCTGTGACAAATTACTCTTGGCGGTTGATTTGTTGGTTGTCAGAAGTGCTCCATGCGCTGGCATGGAGGTGGGGTGAGGTTGAAGAAGAGGGTGCATCTTCCCCCCACCTGTTCTAGCCTGTCGTCGTCACCGGTCCCTTGTCTCCTCCAACCTTGCACATGTGCAACGTGCTCTTGCCACAAGTCAGCGTTGAGATGTCTCAGTGGAAATTGATATTCTGTCTCATAAGATCTCATTAGATTAGATGTTGTTCGTGTTTAATCAGCTTACACATTAGGTTTCCAGCCCTTCTTTTGACAAGACGGTTTGGATGTGGTCGAGCAGAAGAGGGGCTGAGGAGAATCTTTTGTTATTTTTGCAGAAGGGGCTGGAGGAGGAGCGGAAAAGAAAAATGCAAACAACAGATAAAGACTTTATGACAGACCTACAGTATAAATGCCAGTGTTTGTTATAGGGTGGCTAGCAAGCAGGGCAAAGTGCTACCGACAGAGAAATCTGTATTTTTCTGGATGATCTAATGAATTAATAGAATAATCTGTTTAGGAAACTAATGCATTATAATACACTTCATTTTTCCACTTGTGTGTGAGGATGGACAATTTTAGCTGCTATGAATACAGTAAGGGTGGGTAAAAATGGTAGTGTATATGTGATTTGATTAGAGATGCAGTTATCAATCAAGGGAGATCACAAATGGCCGGTTTTCAGCGTCGGCCTTGACAGGTGACCGGCCAATCACTCTGACCTTTCCAGTTCTGTGCTGATCAAGTTTAGAGGCACAACAGTTCATGCCATGCATGCAGTGGCACAGATCAAAAGCATAGCATGTGCTTCGCGTAGCATCTTGCTTGCACTTCAAGCGAGGTCGCACTCATGTCTGTATCAGGTATGTGTTCACTTTTACACTGGAAGCGCTTGGTGTACAAACAGTGCACAGAGGAGCCTACAGAAACACCTAGGAGAAGGGAAATCTACATCTAAATCTCCAACAAATAGCAGACAATAAGGGAATTACTAGCTACACATGAAATGCATATATATGTACAGTGTATCCAGCCTGTGATAAAACACAGCAAATACAAACTACACACACTTCAAAAAGAACGGTGTGCTCAGTAGGACTCCTGTTTCTATTACCTGTTGCACCTGTTTATATTTGGAGATGTACAAGTACTGCATTTCATCTTTAGTTGGAGGTTTGTAAAAAAAAAAAAAAAGTGAAAGAGACCATGTAAAACTTTAATATAGTTTTATTTTTATTACAATTTTATTACATTTTTCATTAAAGTTACAAAAATGTTTGTGTATGCTGTCAACTACAGTTCTTTGAAAGAAAGAAACTTGGAATTGGCCAAAATGGGAATCAGTAGGTCAAACTTAAAAAAAAAAAAATAATCAGAAACTGGCCAAGAAAATTTCAGATGGTGCATCTCTAGATTTGTTATTGTGATATCAGTATAACATGATATGTATAGAAGAAAACCCCCACCAAAACATTAGAGGGTGCAAAACCACATTTCAAGCACTACTCAGCCTTCACCTCAGCATTTCAGATTTCACAGATACATATTTGTAAGTGCAGATTCAGATTTGAGAGCATAATCTCAGCCATATGTGCTCTCTTTTCTAAGTCTCTGTTCTCAGATTTCCCTACTGGTGTTTGTGTGAAAGTCATTTGGCATCAAAGGTTTTGAAAGTGCACAAAACAAGTTGCGAGAACTCTTTGATTTGCAAATCAGAATTTGAGAGTGCACAGGCATGGATTTGTAAGAGCAGAGACAGTTTTGAGAGCGAGGAGGACAGAATCGTGAGCTTAACAGATGACTTCAGCAAGACGCAGGGATTCTCCTTCACTCCTAAATGCAATTCTGCTCTTACAGATCCATGCCTGTACAGTCTCAGATTCTGACTTGCAAACTGAATCGCGCTTGAAATTTGTTTGTCATTGCTCACTGATTTCCCACATAGCCAGCAACAGCCCAGTGCAAACAGATACAGTATATTAAAGGGGTAAACTACTTCAGTATATTCGGTACAGCAGAACCAGAGTGTATTAAGAAGGAGAGTGATGATATCTCCATTGACTATATAAGGACCATTTTTTACAGCAATGGTGGATCATGATACATCAAATAGTTCCAAACATTAGCAGCACCACCATAGAGTTACACTGACTTGGCTGCTATCTTCCAAAGTAAGAAGTTGAAACGAATAGCAACGATTATAGTTGTGACATTTTAAGTTAACGACGTGTCATAATACATTTTACAACCTTTTGACTGTATCTGTCAAATATTGTCGCTTTAATAGGATAGGTACGTAGCTAACTGGCTAAATTAATTGAGCTATCTACAACAACAGAACACAGAATTAGTATGCAAGGCTGTACAAATCATTAAAAATAGTCAGTGCTGATACAGTAAATCCAACTGTTCCCTACAGAAAACAATGGATCTTAATTGACTGTTTGGATCTATTTGAAGCTACATGAGTCATGTGACCTGCTGCCATTTTTGACCCCTCAGTGTCATGGCTCTTCTATCTTAACAGCAAAACGAGCAATGGTTGACAAATTGTTTTTGTTTGTATACCTTTGTATCCTGTATATGTTGGTATGTGAATACATGTGTGCAGGACACTAGGCTCTGAAAAGCATCCCCTTGAGTCTTTAACTTGAGATTTGTCCTGGGAAATGGCTGATGGCTGTAAGCTGATGGCTTTGTGATGGATTTGTCCAAACACTGTATGACTATTCACTCTCAGCCAACAAGGAATATTTGCACCACTGTCTTCTCTGTTAGTGTATTCAGTAGGTGACTGTTCTTACTGTACTGTCTGACATTCCATGACAGTAAATTGATGCTGCTGTCTGTGGAGTATGTCAGTCACACGGCTTGTTGTGTGCAGCGACGGCTGTTTAAGCTCAATCTGAGGTGATTTTATTTCAGCGCCAGGTGTTTGCCATTTTGAAAAGAATCTCATCTTCTTTCACTCCCACTTGCTGCTTTATTCACTAACCGTTTCTCTTTTGTGCACTTTCCTCTCCCCCTGCAAAAGAAATATAATATCAGTTTTCCTTTCAACCCCAGCTATACAGAAGCTAGACTGCTTTGTGCATCACCATCAAAACACAGAGGAAAGCACTGCAATCCACTTGTGTTCAAAAGTCTGAAACCATCTTGTCTCTCTGTCTTTGTATTAAAAGAGGGGTTAAGCTTTTATCCTATAAATATGGCATGAAAATCCCACTGTCAACGACACGTTCATTCTGAGGCTTGCATTAACATAAAAACGAGGGCTTGTTATACAGTGAGATTCCAATAAAAAGAACACAAAATGCATTTAATGAAATTCAGATGCTAGGCCCCTAGCTCCCTGAATCTCATTAAATGAGCTTTGTGCTGTTTTTCCATCTTCTCTTTGTAGAAGAGGTCCTCGAGTGCCCTTAATAATGTGGCAGATTTCATCATATTCCTGATTTAAAGAGGACAATGTCTGTCTTGTTCACTTGTTCTTTTCCATGCCCAAGCCAGTCTCCACAGATGTACTCGCATAGTTTCTGGTCCCGGCTGGTGATGGTATTCCATCTTGTGGTGCATTTTCTTTTAGTTGCTGAAGTTTTGTTAAGGCTCTCCACTAACTCATTCTCTCCCTCTTTCTCTCCCCTTCCCTCCTTTGTTTCTGTCTGCATAGGATTTGGTTTCATAACTTTTGAGAGTGAAGACATCGTAGAGAAAGTCTGTGAAATTCATTTTCATGAAATCAATAATAAAATGGTAAGTCAACTCTTTTTTTTTTACAATTCCAGGTGGACTTTGAAGGATTAATATTTGATTTCTTCTTTCCCCTAGTATTAATAGCAGAGCTAATGTGTGTGTGTGTGTGTGTGTGCGTATGTGTGTGTTCATGTTCATATGCACAAGCTAACACACACTCACACTCTGTGGGTTTCTGGGTCTCAGGGATGGGAAAGCAGTGGTGTGTACTGCCCACAAAGCGCGAAATTGTGTGGCTGAGTTCTGCCTGTCAGGCTGAGGGACAGGAGAGTGGAGCCTGTCCTTCTGAATCCCTTACCACACACACACACACACAGGTGGAGATGTCCAGGGATGCAACAGGGAAGCTACTGGCAGAGGTAGAGTTCATTAGTCAGGGATTAACACCTTCGACTGAGTCCCAGTGATGCTTGTTTTATTTACACCGGTAATATTGTCAATCCCAAAGCTCTACAGAGTTCAGCAGCAGTTTTCTAAGCCACTTGTGTCACTTATGATAATTGACAGAAACCAACCTCAGTGTAGCGAGTGTGACACTACAGTAGGGCCTCCTTTACCCAGTTCCACCCTGCAGACCTCTTGAGAGACCCTGCATCATTTTAGCAGTTCTGTGGATTACGATTCAGTGGGGAGGATACTTGTCTTAATACTGTTCAGTCACTATGTGTCTTCACTTTCTCCCAACCTTTTCCTGAAACTGTCTGACTGACAGGACCAGTGTAGTAGAACCATGTCCACCAGGGACCAGCCCAGGTCACACATGACCCCGTTATACATCCCTCCATGCCTTTTCACTGCATCACAGTCGATGCTCAGGACAGCAACCAAAAAAAGCCATGCATGACAGAAATATCTGTATGTGTATGGAAGACACTCTGTCACAATCAAATGTCTCAAATTCTTTGACATACACTGTGTGAACACACAAATATTGCAGATCAATATTAAGCATAAATACACATACCAGAGAGTCTATTTATGCACACAAACCTTGATTTCTAAGCTGTTCAGAACCTATTTTTGCTCAATTGTTATGTTACAATAATAGTTCATAAGAAAGCCTATTTATTCAAAGTTCTAGGTACTGTAATAATTGGATTTTAAACAGTAGTACTAATTAGGAATGAGAATTTGCTTAAGTTAAATAATGTAGATAACCAGTAGTCGTCTTTAAAAGACAGACATTTTTTTATTTATGAGCATTGTTCCCACCTGCTTTAAGACCACAACCATCATTCCCCTTCCCAAGAAGAGCCCGGTCACCTGCCTGAACGACTACAGGCCAGTGGCACTCACTCCAATTATTATGATGTGCTTTGAAAGAGTGGTGCTGGCCTGCATTCAGAACAGTATACCAGGCACCCTGGACCCCCTGCAGGATACCTACCGGCCCAACGGGGCCACCTCAGTTTTTAAACTTGTATTTGTGGATGCAGTGGGAGCCTGAGGAGGTGTCACCTAGGATCCTTTGCAACTTCTACAGCTGCATCATTGAGAGCATCTTGACCAGCTGCATCACTGTCTGGTATGGCAGCACTACTGCTATGGACCGCAAGCGCCTGCAGAGAATGGTAAAGACGGCAGAGAAGATCATCAGGACTCCCCTGCCCTCTCTGCAGAGCATTTACCACCACAGGGTGTGTAGGAAAGCTGTCTCCATCCTCAAAGATCCCACCCACCCTCAGCACGGACTGTTCACCTCCCTACCCTCTGGCCGGAGGTTCAGAAGTGTGAAATGCAGGACCTCTAGGCTGAAAAACTCTTTCTTTCCCTCTGCCATCAGACTCCTAAACAGCTGAGGAGTTTATTACCAGGAACTACGTCATGTACTGTCGACCTGTACTGTCGACCTGTACTGTTTACATTCTCAGTTTGCACATGCATAATTGCACAATGACTGTTGACTGCTGCACATGCTGCTCCCATGCAGCATACATTCTGTTATATTCTTGTATATTTTTATTATATTGCTGCATTTGCTGCTTAAAGTGCCTTAGATTTAGTGTTACTTATTTATCTATTTTATATTTGTATTTTGTGGCATTCATGTGGACGGCAAAGTAAGAATTTCATTGTACAGGGAAACATGTTTCCTAACTGTGCATATGACATATAAACACTTTGAACTTTGAACTCATAACATGGTTGCTGTCTCCCAATATTCAAAAAATGGCCAAATTAAACCCAAAATATCAATCAAAGTTGATAACTTTGTAACAGACAACATTGGGTAACATAAATTAGAAGAGTGATGGTGCTTAGCAGAACTATCATTTTAAACAGACCTATTGTTCTTGTTTCAAAAAAATGCTGTACTAAATAGCCAGCAACAAATACTTGCATTCAAGTAGTAATGGAAACATAAAGGCTGTGCCAGTGTCCTGATCTCAGTACAGTACATGTCATATACCAGCTTTACTATAGTGCCAACTTTGATATCCCAGTGAATATTTGGCATTTCCATCCCACCAGCTAATACACTTAGAAGTGGATGTCACAGAGCAATGTTTTAGATTATTTTCAGCATTATTGGAAGCATGCATGAAGAACTGTTGATAACCATGTGGAAAAAATTAATAAGGTTTTCCTGACATTAAAAGCATGTGTGCTGCCCCTGGGGATGCACGTTTCCAAACATGCAACATAACCTGAAGCAAACTTGCTAATGCCTAGTCTGCTGTTTGCATAGAGATACAGTAACTTTGTTTCCTCAATAAAGTACCTTTTTTAAATTAACACTTTGACAGGTTTACTACCCTAAGGGCAGAAACACACCAAGTCAGCGTGAAAGAACTAGCAGTGATGAAGGCCGACCTCTGTGTTGCGTCATGTTGGCTTTCTCTGGGCCATTGGTACTTGAACACACCACACAGACTACAGCCAAAGGCCAATTAGCATGAACATTCTCCACTTACGTAATAGAAATAACTTCCCCCAACAGGGGGCGATATCTTTATTCACCATTCAGAAAGGGAAAGAAGAAGAGCTAGACCAGATGTAAAACTGTAAGCAAAGCCGCTCTAGTTCAACACAGCCACTGTTTATAGCTGCTTCTAATCCAGAATATGTTTGATAACAAGTTGCAAATAACACTGTCGCTCTCTGCCCTTGGTCTTTTGGTTGTGAAAGAAGAAAGGAGGATGTGGAGGCAAAAAACAAAGAGAAGCCATACTACATATATGAAATCATGGATACTACAGTGACAGTCTGAAGGGGCTTTCCCCAATCATTCTCTTCTCATGTATTGATTCCCTAAGCTCAGTAACCAACCAGAGTTGTCTCTCATCGATGAGGCCCGACTGCCGACACCTATTCGATATGTAGAACTGGCCGAAAAGCCACCGACAGAGGCTGACTAGTGCCAACGGTGCAAGACACTGGGAAGATGAGCCCCGACAGACGCTCACTGACGACCCAACAGTGGTGTGTCATGGCCCTCAGACATTGTTTTAGCTAAATAAAGCTGCTTTGCTTTAATTTCCTTTGCATGAACTGCATATGCTCCATTGAACATCCAATTAGCTAATTGTAATTACATTTACTATTATTATTATTTAGACTGTGGGAGATAAAGATATTGAAAAAACAGAGGGTTATTTAAGTTTTTCATCCTTCCTTCTTGTCTTGTCAGAAACATTAATCTGAGACTTCATCCAACAGTCAGTGCATACGTACATTCGATTAGCTGATGTGTCACAATCATGACACTTACTGTTATTGTGATCAGTTAATAACAGGGTTACACTGTGAATGCACAGAGCACAGGTCACTTTTCTGAGGCTTTTGTCACCATTGTAAGGGCCCCTCTTGGCAACGCCTACTATCCATTAAACTTTCTAGAATGCAAGAAATAAGTGTGTCCCTCACATCTTTTACAAAGTGCTGGCATCTGAGAAAAAATGTGGAGTGTGTTAAGAGCATTTTTCAAATACCCTCCAGGTTTTACCTTTGTTGCACAGAGGAGAGAGTACTGGTTATTCAGAACTGAAGCACCAGCAACACATAAAAAAATGCCTCCTTTCTTCATTCTTATGAAGTACAATACAGAAATAGACCTCATCCATCCTCCCTGCGAGTGTTATCTAAGATGGTTCTTGAATAATTGATGCAGACAGAAATTCCACCCCACTCAGGAGGGCTGTGGATGTACAGGGCTCCCCACCTTCTCCTTGCCCATCCTCTCAAGGGCTCTGGCAGCGTAGTGGTTCAGTGCCCGCACAGATATTAGTGACGAGACCTTTAATGACTTGGTCAATCACCCTGTGTTCATGTGCCACCGAAGCCTCACTCTCAGCAGCACTTGCTCTCTGTCACAGTGAGTTCTGCCTCATATATAATTAAAAATAGGGTGCTGCTTAGCAAGGAGCTCTCAGCCTTCCCCTCGAGCTGTACAGCCTTCCACATTGCTCTCACCTATGTAGACTGCCCTGCTTTAGCAAATACAAGATGTAATAAAAGTATGGATTATCCTCTCCAGGGCTCCACAAGGTTTCAGAAACATCCTTTAACCACAGCACCTTGTATTAAAACCAGTAAATATTTTGTTACTAAAAATCAGTAAGCAGAAGATGGCTTGACAGTTTTCAGATGCTTTAACAGTTTATCATACTGTAATAAGACAGCACCTCTGTACTGCTGAGGAAGGGGTGTGAATTCCGTTAAAACCGAAGTCCTTCCATCATTCCCCATCACACCATTATGAATGTGCAGCTAATTCATAATAATACCTATCAGGTATTGGCTGTGATGAGCAAGCAGTGTGCCATTAAAATGGACTCACATTGATTTTACTCAAGTGCTTCAAGGTAATGTTCTTTAATGTGTCATTTTTAATATTCAACACTAGTGAAGGATCACAACGGGGGGGAGGAATTTTCTGTTAGTCATCAGTTTCTCCCTGTGTCTTCCTGACGTGACCAACCAATTACTGCGCTGAGGAGAAGAAGTTCTGACTCTCCCAGTCACTGAGGAAGAACGCTAATACAGGAAGGCATTTATAC